TGGTAGAACGTACTCATATAAGTCCTTAGCCATAGGAGTTAGTAGAATTGCTAGAAATTTAGTCAGTTATGAAAAGAAAGATGGAATCCTTCTTCGGCCAAAGACCTTCGGGACTTTGGATCATCGGCGCAGCCATTTTTGACGATGCAATAGCCTGATCTTCGGCAAAGACGATGAATCCCAATTTGCGTTCGCAAAGGGCTAGTCAAAATCCGCACGCGTTGGGAGTACCAATTCCCGTGCGTGTGAGAACCGTTATGGCGTCAAGAGTAAGGGCACAAAACAAACACATTCGCGCCGACATCGCGACATTGAGAGAGAGAGAGAGATTTGCAATCAATCTACCTTGATAGGAGCGAAGACGCGATTGGAGACATGACGCCACCCACGACAGCTAAAGTGCAAAAATTGATCCTGCTTAAGGTGCCCTATGCGGAGTTGCGACCCTATCGGCGAGAGCTCGTTGAACTACATCTGGATTTCTTGCTATGGGATTGGAATTGCGTTTCGGCGAGCATCTGCAAGGAGATGATGAATAAGAATCGTAATGAGGGGGATCATCTCAAGAACAATTCGATGCTGTGGAGAATCGAACACTGGACAAAGGTTCTAGGACCGTGTGCGAGGAAGGATGAAGACTACATGTTCGGGAAGAAGAGTGTCAAGATTACGAGCGCAGAAGAATTTACCTTTGCCCCAACCCTCAAGATTCAAGGTCGGGGATGAATGGGTGGAAGACGGCAGATTACAAGGACCCGAAGAGGCGTGGGATTGAGTTAGGGGTAATGCATATTCTGCGACCGCAACGCACGACCTATGTCATTGCATGGCAGGTCAGCTTCTTCGAACGCGCCTTGAAGGGAGAGCTAATTCATTGGGCGAAGATCTTCAACGACCTAATTTATACCAATATCAGCATCTGATGGAAGGGAGGTTTGATAAACCACATACCCCCCTACTTAGTGAATTTCTATTGAGGGATGGGGTTATTGACGAAGGATGAGGAGAAGCGATTTCCGAAGGAGCGGGAGGTGCGGGCAATTGAGTCGAGCGAGGACACGGACGAGGAGGACAATGTCCAACCCGAAGAGTCACCTCAAAGGACAGCACGCGGGCAATTTCAAGTGGACGTGGTCGCCACCAGAGAACAACCATAGAGGAGACCGGCGAAGAGACGGAAGGTAATCGCCTATAGTGAAGAAGGCCAAAGACCGGAGTCTTGGATGGCCGAGACACAGGTGACGAGGATCAGAATGTCGAGTATCCGGGCCAGGCCGAAGAAGAAAGTGAATCGCAGGGGAGTTGTGTCCGATTCTTCGGTGAGTAGTGTGGCGAAGTCGGATGCAGCTGCCTCTACGATGGACGAAGGGAAGAGGGAGGAGTCAACTCTTCGGGTAGTAGAAGGAGGAACTTCGGGAGTACAGGTTGAAGTCCCGATGGAAGTAGTAGCAGAATCTTCGGAAAAAAGGACGGCAACGGTAAGTCTAAGTCTACCACCCTGAGAGCAGATGCAGTCAATGGAGACTGAGGAAGTGCCTGAGCCGAAGACAAGTGAAGAGCTGGCGAAGCAACTCACGCTGAGTGAAGAAATACTCGAGCTGGTTGTTGTGCAGGTTGGAGGGACAGTAGTAGATGCCCCTGAGATTCCATCGCTGTCACCACCTCAGGAAGATGTAAGACCCGAAGCAGAGAAGAAGACTTCGGAGGAGGAACCAAATGAGTTAGATGTTGCTTTCCTCGATTTCCTGCATGATAGTGTAATACCTTTACTGAATTATTTGGATAAGAAGAGAGAGAGAAATACCAAGGAGTTAGGATTCTATGTAGAGTTAGTGAGGAATATGACTCAGATCAAGAGAGTTATAGCAGAGTAAATGGGAGTCCATGGCAAAGGAAAGAGTTGCGAGCTTGTCTCCCGAGTGCGCAACCGTGAAAGTGGCGTTGCAGTAGCGAGAGTACGATCTTCTGGTGAAGTAAATGGAATGTGAAGTCCTTCGTTTGAACTTAGTGAAAGAGAAAACTCTTCGTGAGTCGAAAGAGCAGAAATGTGCGAGTTTTCAGATTGACTTCGAGAATGATGGTGATGATGGGGATAGATTGGAGGCATCCAAGATGTTCAATCTATCCAAATGTTTATATTCCTCGATCGAAATTACCACTTAATTACATTTGTTAGAGTTCAGATCCACCTCCTCCTCCTTTCTGATTACCGATGACAGACCCGAACTCAGTTAAACTTGGATCTGCCGGGGCTATCGTCCCGGATGGGACGCCTCTCGTACCATCAAATGCTCTGGTACGAGAGGCGAAAGTAACCCCGTTAGTTCATGCCAAAATTTTCATTACTGGTACCATTAAAGGGAACAAAACTAACCTGTGGCCCATACAGGTCTCGAACCTGTGACCTTCGCGTTATTAGCACGACGCTCTAACCAACTGAGCTAATAGGCCATGTGAAAAAGTTCTTAAATTTAAATAATTGATACTTACAGTACATATTACAGTCATATCTTTTACGTACGCCTTAGCATTGAATAAATCACACGTCAAATATTCACATGTGTAGGTAAGGAATAAAATATTTTTTGAGATTCGCACCTTTTGCCATATGCGTTGCGGCCTGGAGCACACAGTAGGAATATACCCAAAATCCTCTTGATGTTTTTACACTCGTGGAAAAGAACCAAGAAGAGGAAAGAAGTAAATGGAAGTCAGATACGCTAAATTAGAGCTCTCCAAAAAAAGGCCCTCCAACTTGCTTACTAACATCAAATTCTCCACATTTCCATACTTAAAAGAAAATAAGTCGTATGATTACAAAACAGCGATCATCTTCGGACTGCTGAATTAGATTAAGTGCACTTGTCAACAGCACGTTTGATGAATCGGTGGCCGAGATCAGGATGTAGCCATAACGCTGTTTTCTAGTCCTTGTTTCTTCTTATGATTCTATCATATACATCTACTCCCACCAATCTGAATTCACGTAATTCAATTATTATTATTTCTAATTATTGTTTCTACGGGCCAAATTAATTATAAAAGACACACGAAGACTTTGGAAGCCACAAAGTTTGACGGAGTAAAATTTCACGTCAACGATCCAGAATTCTATAAATGTTTATATTTTCCAATGTGTTTTAGAAGTTTCTTTAGACATCTCCTTCTTTAGGTTCCCCTACGAGTTTCGTAACTAAGGTGTATAATTTAGACTTCAAAGATATATCAGAATGGTTGGATTCTGTTACGATAGTTGGCCTATTTCCCATAAATTTTTCTAGTTTCGGCCTTGAAGTAACAAATTTTCTTTTTAAACTCCAGCAAAAGTTGATAAACAATCTCTTGATAGTGATGTCAGCTATTGGGTCTTAATTTCTTTGAGGCATGACATCTTTCCATACCCATTTAGAAGCTAGAAAAATGAAAAATCTCATGTGCCCATACCTCGTTTGACCATTTTATCTGTGCAAAGTCGGTACGTGTGATTTTTCCCCATTTATGAAGACATCAGCACCTTATAGCTTTATTAAGTCCATACCTCTACTACCGACTTGTCAGGGAATATAACAAAAATTGTGTTAGATGAAGTCGATTAAGTCCATCAAAGTTAACTTGACCTCACTCAAGAAGAACTTACTCAGGGTGGTACGCAGTGTACATTAAACAAGTTACGCGTCACGATATTCTTGCGGTAAATGTTAGTAATTACTATAATTTTGTTCCTTGAATCTCTATTTCTACAACCAGTAATTCTGTATACATGAGTAATTTTCAACTCTCTATTTCACGACTTGCGAAACGTGGTTGAGTCTAATATGCTTAGTACTTAACTTGCGCATCATGTTACAAAATTTGTTTTCTTCTTTACAGTTTTTGACATGCTTGATATATTCTTTTAAAAAAAATATATATATATATATATATATATATATCAGACATATATTAAAATTTCTTAATTAAATTAATTTTAAATTTTTTGTAATTGAGAAGTAATTCTTTTTTTTCTCAAAATAGAAAGTTAATTGCTGATGAATTATTTTCATTATTAAAAATCACAATACAAAAATTATTAGTTATGTTCATAATGACAAAAATGATCATGATTCTATGATTGAAAAATAATATATATGTGACAGGTTTGAATTTCAAAGAATTAATATTAATCTGTGATACATGTATCATAGCATAATAGTTAGAGCTGATAATTGTTCCAATATTTATTTTAAAGTATGCCACTAATCATCAAGATTATAAGGATAACGAAATAGAGTCAACTATGTGGTGTTTTTAGAATTTAATATTAAAAAATATATTTATATTTTAAATTAAATATATAAAATTAAATTATCTTATATCTACAAGTTCTCATTCAAAATTTTAAATCCCGAATTCCCGAAATAATGTTGTTAACTATTCTTTACAGCAGTTTGTAATGTAGTATAAATCATGGCAGTCTAATCAACTAGATTTTCTAAAAAAATCATTCAATTTTAAAGATAATCATTTTTCATTCCATCATTCACAACAACGTATGTCATTATATATCTTTGTTAGAAACAGTTAAAAAATTCTATTAAAGTCAATTGCAAAGACAATGAGCTTCACTATAGAATTCAAATTTTAGTATAGCTTTCAGGTCCACTTGCGTACGCAAGGAATACGGGAGGAAGTCAAACGCGGTAAATGAGTGCAAAGGAAGTGAGGAATCTGACATTTCTTCTTGTGTGAAGAATCCAAGCGACGTATATCAAGGTCGCAAAAATAGTTATTTCATTTTCCCAATCTCCAGGAATTCAATTATTAGCAAATGTGGATTGGGAAATTAATAGAGATATTGGTTTTAACATGTCCAGTACTTATTGTATTCAACCTATGAGTTTTGAGAATTAACCATGAAATTGTAAATATTTTTGGATATAGAAAAACCACATTGGTGAATTTCGTTGAACACATTCTATGACTCTGGAATTTCATTAAATGTGTTCAACGAAATTCAACATATATGCAATATGATAATATATGCTACATACAACGTTTGGATGCTCGTAAACTTTTACCTCTACAAGAAGGAAAGGTGCAACTCGAGAAACGTACAACTGTATACAGACAGCACCTAAATGAGATTCCAGCGATCATTTGATTTGCAATGTGAGGCTTTGAGATCGATATAGTGACTCTGAAATACCAGAGTAAGGCTATGGCTTGCAGATATTCAATTGAATGATGGTAACCTACGCTAAAAGTACAAGTATGAAATTGGTCCCAAAGCCATTATCCTGCCTCAGAAACTAGCATCTCGTTTCACCATCTAAACAAGAAGATGGACCATGAGGCAACTGGCTTGGTGAGACGTCCAGCGGCTAGGACAGAGTTGGCTGCAGTATTTGAACTGGCTCTACTCGTTCATAGGATGCTGACCATCTCAAAGAAGGCTTGCACGATGGTCCCTCCAACCCCTGAAGATGCAAGAAACTTTGACTGGCTTAGCTTTAACTACTGAGACCAGTTGTCAACAAAATAGTGACTTTAACAATAAACTATGAGGACTTGACTTACATCCCACCCCCTCGCATGTGAGCTCCCAGCTCACCGAACTGGTCATCTGCCTCCTCAGTATCAAATGATAGTCTAACAGCATCCAACTTGGTCTTCAGTATCTCTATAGCATTGATAAACATTTGAGACGCCTGAATGGCACCGGTGGACTCCACGGTGAAGATGAAGCTATCATCTCTGCTTATGATATCCACCAGACCCGTTTTTCCCATAGCCTCTGCTTTCTTTAAAATTTCCTCATCATAGGTGTAAGCTTCAGCATCCACAACTACAACCTGCAGAATTTGGAAAGGCCATTAGACAGGTCAGTTCAAAACTAAGCACATAAATCGTATCGGCTTATCCGCCTGTGGCACGCCTAGGTAACCTTCAGATAGAAGATATGTACTCTACAGTTGAAGCTCTTTATTCACATTCTCACTTGCATACTGAGGTCAAAAGCAGAATTGCAGACATTTTTCTCCAGCCACTATTCTCAACGAGTTAAGATTGTACACTCATTATTTAGAACCGCATAGACGTATTTCCACAGTAAAATTGCTACAAACTTCTAGCGTCTTTAATATCGAATCAGTGAGACAAAGAAACTATCAAACCCCCCTATCGCAACTTTTCACAATAATAAATCAGTTGTCAATGTAGGCAATCCAAGACAGGAATCTTACCTGTTGGGTTTGAGGATCAACCTCGAAAACTTTCGTTGGACAGCTGTCAACCCACTCCTTCTTTTCCTCTAGTGACAGGCTCTCCATGAGCGCCTCATTGATATGGATCTCGGGCTCAAATTGAAACGCCACGGTGGCTGCTGGAGACCACTTAGCATGGTCCTTTCCGATCCCCTTTCTGGCTATGGCCCTCAGTTTGAGCTCTTGTCCACGTCTCAGCTTCACGATCAAAATTCCTCTGTTAAAACAATTTCATACACGATGTTGATCGCAAGAAACCAATTAGTATGACCCTGAAACTATCAGATATTAGATATTTACCGACTCCTTTACAACTTCACGTGAAATGGTGTCCTTCTCGTCAAATTGGACAATACGGACAACTAAGTGGCTTTCATAAATTATGATCCTCATTAGTAGACGACACTGACAACAAGGTCCACTCCACTAACTTGGGACGAGATAGGGCTGACTTCATTCATTCTTTAACTTGACTGAATCACATTGACTAAACATTTTAGGGCAAAAGACTGACACTCAACTGAGATCAATAATATTTCTCAGATTCGCAAAACTCAAAAGAAAGACTCGCTATACCCAACTATTCCACTGCTCTCTTAGGTATTTCAGAGATAATGCACAAAACCAGGTAGATATGCAGAAGATCACACTTCAGTTCTAACGAATTCAAAAGGAAAATGAAGGATTACCTTGCTTCTGGAGCGTCAAAACCGTTGATATCTTGGGCAAGATTATTGTCGACAGGGACGACTGATGGATCAGAAGAAATGAGATCGTGACTTGTAACATCCAGGGTTTGATCCGAGGTACATTTCACATTGAGAGTGAACTCCACTGAGCAGTACATGCAGCTGTGATCAACAGTTTACAAAAAAAGTTTCTCAGACAAAAACGACAGAGAAAATTCTTAACTGCACGATAATAGCTATGAAAACAATGGAATAACACATGCATACACTGACAGCTAATGCAGATGATGTGCCTGCCACGTTGTCTTATAGTGGGAATCATATTATCTTGTAGGTTTCCATGGAACCTTTACTCTGGCTTAGCCTCTGGGATGTGGCATAGCTGAAGTTCCGGTGAAAACTATCAATCTACGAACGATAGCACATCCAAACATAACTGCTAAATTGCTCAAGCTGTCAATATCAAGAACCTAGCCCTCCTACATTTAATTTATGCATCAATACACCGTCAGCTCATCACTTCCTCAAAAGACTACTGTGTCTCCCTCATTATCCCTGTATAGTGGTAAGCCCTAAGTATCGGAACGTTCGTTGATGCGGGTAACTGAAGTAAATAGCTGGTTACGCCTTGTGTTGTGTAACAGGCTTTCGATGCCACTCCAACAAAGATAATACAAGCTAAACTCGATTGTTGCATTCTAACCTCAAATTTTGTTGACGAGACTTATGAAGTAATGGAATCTTGAAAACATTTATTGAGTAAAGCTGAAGGAGCCAACAAAGGATGCAACTTCAATACAAACAAGTCACCAAAATATTTCAAGGAAGGTGTAACACTCATTTTCACATTCAAACCTTAGCTCTACATAGATGCAGTTCACAAGAACCCTAAAAACCAAAGACAACGCACCTGCCGTCTCCGTCACAGGCATCGCAATCTCGAGAAAGACGCATTTCCATGGCTCTCTCGCTCTTCAAAGGAATCAAACCAAGCCGATGGGATAAAAATTCATCATTCAAGACTGACGAGTTTGTTTCAATTTCCACCAAGTCGATAGCGAGGGTAGGCACCTCGGCAATCATAATCCGCCGAAGTGCATTTGCAATACTTGGGTCGGTGTCTTTCAGCTCGAATTTAATATAATCATCCTTGAGCTCCCTGATTCTCACAGTCGGGAACCTGGTGTAAGATGTCACAGTATCCATGATCGACCTTTTTCAATCACATAAAACACCAAGGCTTCCCCTGCCCTGAAGCAAGACTTCGAGCCTCGCGCCAAGCATACGGATTAAACCGAACGAACCGATCCCACAACCACAGCAATTTCTCGCACGATATCCACTACTACGTCTCGGCGATCCTCAAAACCATCCTTCCTCACAAATTCCTATTCCAACAACTTCCAGCGCCGGAAACTTCTCGTTCTTCTCGTACTCATCACTCCGAGACAGAGCCAGCCACGAGTGAAGAAGGTGAAGCGCCTCCGAGAGATTTCCTCACACCTTCATCAGACTCGAATTGTCGATGTACAGATTCGCAGTGCCAACGATCGAGTCTGCAATATGATCACAATTTCCAAAGCCTGTGTTCGGGCAGCAGCATGGGCCGAAATGTTCGGGGCCTGCATCAAATGGAGGGTTTTAGCTGAGGCGGGATACAAAACCCCTCTCGTCTCTGTCGCTACCGGAGGGTCTTTAGCGGGACCGGCAAGTAAGCCCAAGGCTCGCACGGCGAATGTTCAGACGCGGATTCGTCAGAATGACGGAAAGTACGACGATGTTACGTCGACCGGTCTCGACATAATAATATAACTCCTCGTTGCTTCTACTTCGATTATCGATATTGGAATGTAATTTAAGACGAATATATATCTCTCAAACCAATTTTATGCACTTCTAGAAAATAATAGAAAGAGTGCGTTTTGAAAAAAAATTAACTGGTCGGTTTGTATTTATTTTTATGTTTATTTGTCTTGATAGTTACATAGTAATATTTTTAAAAGAAAATTTGAATGATTAATAGCTTAACTCAACAAGATCTTCTTGCAGATTGTTCTGTCAGAGGAAAAAAAAGTTTGGTTGAATTTATATATCCTTGGTTTCATGTGTCACTTTGACTCTATGTTGATAATGATCTGTTTTATGTAAAAGCACAATGAAATTTCATTTAATTTTAATGGTAATATGTATTAAATTCAATCACATTGCAAATAAAATTCAGTCTCTTGTCATTAGTGATAATATCCTAAACTTTAAATGGAAATTTAGCCAATTTCAAGTTATAAATGATTTTACTAACTATCACAATACTACATACTCAAGATTGCAAACTATAGATGAATGAACATATATATATATATATATATAGATAAGTCCTCTCTATCTCATCAATTTGAAATCATCATTCTTAATTTGTAACGATCTATTTTGATTTTATATACTTTTGAGCTTGAAATATCAAGTACAGAGAAGTGAAAAATACTTCAGAAATCGAGCAAAAATCTATTATTTAATTCAATTTGTTAAAATATTTCTATTCTTATAAATTATTGCGTTTGTACATTTTTAAAACAACATTAGTTGCTCAATTTGATTGGCTTATATATATATTAAAAATACACATGCTAGCTAATGTATAGATTACTAATTGATTAAAGCATCGACAAATAAATTTAATAAAAATTAAATTTTTCATATTGAAATGAAGTATTATTATATTAATATTATATAAACTGATATCTTTGCATGTATAAGAATTTTGCATTTGACCTTGTGATGGAATCAAAAATGATTATGAAGGGTAACATATACATCATTCTTTAAATCAATATTATATTACTATCATAGCAAATAATATAATAATTTCTATAATAGATTCATCAATTTATTTAGGTATAAGAATACTTTAGTGTAAAATCAAATCTATATATGAAATACTAATATCATAAAGCATAAATTTGTTGTATTTAATTAATTTATTTATTTATGATAAAATTTAATATTAATAATTTTCCCCATCGATATTATAATTGGTACTAAGATCTAAATTGCATTCATATTTATAAGCATAATGAACATGTATAGAACTAATTATAAGATACATATTAATTTTTTTGGATAACAACATTAAAATCAAACATAATACTTATAATTTCTTAATATCTATAAATTACGATAAAATTAATCGATTTTGAATCTGTTTCAAATGTTACAACAAATTTCAATCGCAAATTTCAATTCTTACAATGTTGGATCAAAATCTATAATGTCAATCAAATGATCAAGTTTGCATGAATAACACTATGAAGGATAGCTTTTACGTCAAGACTTTATATTTATCAAGTAAAGTTTCTATGATTTATATATATATATTGAAAATCTTATTTAATAGTTATAAATGATGAATTGATGTTCTATTGTGAAACTATATGACATCGAGTATATGTGAAGACCTAGAAAAACAAATTTTTATATTGCACATTAAATTTAGTACAACTACTATTAAAGATTAAAAAATTCCATTCATACTTTAGCTTTATAACTTTCTATTTCCCAAAATAATTATGTTCATGAATGTTTTTTCTGAAGAAAAAAATTCACACTCCTTACGGGAAAAAAAGTTAACATAATACTGCTACCAAATGCGAGAAGGCATATGTCATCTGTACAATTTATCCTCATGTCAATTATATTAATATATAAAACCTACTCACGGTATATAAACACGGGCTCCTTTTTTGAAACAAAGTTCCACAAAAAGGTGTTGTTTTAGCTAGTCTAAGCTATTTCTGAAGGAACTCGCCGGGCGGAGGGGAATTTCTCCACTCGCCCAAATGACTGGATTGCATCTTGTAAAGTCGTCAAGGCTGATTGCAATTGAAGCTTGCAATCTCAGATTGCAAGCTTTACTTCCTTCATCCTCAGCTTGAGTTGACAATGTCGGAAAGCACAAGGTCTCCAGTTCTACATTTACAAACTAGCATCGAGGCTTATAATCTCGGAACATATATTCCTGATTCTATTGGATTAATTTAGTTCACAATCTGAGGATGAAGGCAATAAAGATTGCAAGATGATTGTTTGAAGAGCTGCAATCAGGAATAGATTGGTCCCGTCTCCGCTCAGAATACGGCAATCTGTCGAAACACCAGTGGCTAAGGACAGGAAATCCTTACTCGGCCCCCGTCCTCGGCCTGGCACCTGATCCCCCTTCAGCCTTTCCAATGGGCATCAGCATTCAGATGAAGATTTGCCGGACTGAAATAAGCATATTATTGAAATAAGCCAATATTGAGCTCTTTTCTTACATCCTTTTACCAAAACATATTAACAACTGAAGAAATTGCAGACAGGTCCGGGAGTCTTGCCCTCTCATTCGCCATCAACGAGTTAAGAATTGGCAGTGTGTCATCCCCAACGAAGCTCATAATCTTGGAAAATCGGGCGAACCTCGCAAGGATTCATGCAGTCCAAAGTCCGGGCCGTTAATACCAGACTGAAGTCAAGGTCTCAGACCTCGTACATCTCCTCGATGATTGCGACGCCGCGTTCAAACCCCGTCATCTTTCTCGTCGCAAACTGCCGGGCGTTCCTCAACAGCGAGCAGCGAGATTGTCACGATCATGTGTCTGACCACTGCGAGGTAACGAGAAATGGTCACGAGGCTTTCTGGTCCCTGATTCAGACTACTGCGAGCCAAGCCGGTCCTCACCCTCCACTTCGTGAGGACTGCAGGAATCGATTCTGGACCCACGAGAGTGCGATTCGAACGACAAGCATTCTCAAAACTGGACGACCAAATTGGCTTTTATATCACAGTCGATCTTCATTGACATCCGCGTAGAGATGCTCACAGCTCGGCTAACGGCTAGCCGGCTAATATTTTTCGTTAGCCGGCGAGCCGGTTATAAAGCCGGCTAGCCGTCGGCTCACCGGGTCACAGATAAATATTGCCACCCCAGATTGGCCGCTATCCGAGACCGAAAACTTTGACCGAATCCTAGTTTTCGGCTAATTATTTCGGAAATTCGGCCGAAATTGTCCCCATAATCCCTAATTTCGGCAGATTGCGTTGCGGCCCACAGCCATGTTAGCCCACGTCTAGCCGGCTACGTGACCATGCCTACATCGGCGGCTCATGTTACGCCCGCATGAAGACAAACCATCTTTTGGGGACCAAAGCTACGTTGACAGATAAGATGTCGGCACGCTCGTTTCTCCACTTCCAAGTGGCCGCGCCAGGGTTCGATTCCTGCCTCCGTAGTGCAATTTGTTAATTCTCAAATTAATTCTACAACGTCATTTATCTGCAAGCTCACAGAATTGTGAGACCACTCCAGATCACAGGGCGATGAGATCCCAGCAACAAGTTTTTCACAACTGGGATCCAATATTGACTAGTAAAGCATTTGCCGTAGAGAGCATTTTAAGTATCAAAGCCGACTTTAGAGCACATGACATGGCTACTCTTTTGGCACTCTCAGTGATAGACAACATCAGAAGCACATGACATGTCAGATGAGTATTCCTATTTAACTAAACCAAGAATTAAAAAAATCCCACATTCCATTTAAAGCTTTCGTGTCCTTAGAGTTAAAGTCTCTATGACTGTAATGTGTCTACGATATATAGATGTTTTAGCTCTAAACATTCGTTTTTCTTATAATTTTGAAAATTAAATTCTAAATTATTCTAAGATATAGTATTTGGAAATTATTTTGAAATTTTCTCAATTTTGATTAAATTAAATTTATTTTCTCATATACTATCGAATTCTTTTTTAACGTTGAATTTCTCAATCTTAATATCTTGTTTTGACCTTAAAATGATTTTTCTCCGTTAAAAATTGAAAGAAAATATTTCGATTAAAAAAATAGGACATGAATTTCTTATAAATTCTAAATACAATCTAATTTTAAAGAAACTTTCTCTTTGGAAAAAAATATATTCGATGTTTTTTCCAAATAAATAAAAGAAAATGAATGACATCCATGGACTGAGCGGACGACACCATGGACTTTCTAATTTGTTAATGTTTTTTGTGAATGGCTCATTATGTTAAGAGATGTGAATTCATCTTGAATGATTTTTACAATGAGAGTGTGTGTATATATATATGCGCTGTAACATCCATATAAAAAAAATTATTCTATTCTGCAAATTTTTTGTAACTTTTCACTTTAGACGGTTATCATAATTATATTGACTTAGAATATATTTATAATTGTCCAAATTGGTATATTATGTAAGATAAATTATTTACGTTGCCAGAATACCATATTTTCATGTGGAAAGCAATAAGGGTCGTAGCATACAATCGACGCGGAGAACTTAGGAACAGTGTACAGATTTTAGGCGTTGACCAAGAGCTTGAGTTTGGTAAACACTTCAATAGATTAGTGTAAGAATATGTGACATGGAGGGAAACTCGATTATCACTTCTGTCCTCGAAGATTCGTTGTGATCACGTATTTGTAGACAAGCAATGATAACCGCAATCACGAAAACAAATTCCTAAGATGTCAGTTTGTAATATTTGTACAATGATTGTATGAACTTCACAGGTAGAACGTACTGTGCTAATAGTACACATTATCAAATTGTATAGCTAATGTTCGTCCTTTGTAGCGGCTTCTCATGATATATGATGAAAGATGTCATTCTCCAGCTATTTGCGAACAAAAACTGAAAGAATAGTTGGTTCAAAAGCTTTTAACAACGTAGATAGAAGCTAAATTCTATTTTTGAAGTACCCTAGCAACTGTGTTGGCTCAAGCAAGTACCGTTCTCTGATAGTCTATACTTTCTTTTGTTGACCTTTATTCTCAGATAATTATAAAATTATTCTCGAATGAAACATGTCTCAATTTCCCTCATCAATCCTCCTTTAAACATGTGAATAAATATGCGAAAATATTTCCAAATGACATGCGCTGATATTAGTTGAATTGCCCAAAACAAGTGGCTGGAGCGAGGATGCTAGTTTTGGTGGTTGCTCTTTTCAGGTTTGATCACCATAATCGCAGTAGGCTTTACTTTATGACATATTACTGCAAAATCGTAGGAGTGGAATGACACTGCTTCACCACAGAAATTCATCCACTCAAACTTTTACACCATCACTGAGGACTTTACCTCCTAGTCAGTCATATTTGTGACCATCCCAGCATGAACAAATTGCAACACTACAGCTTTGGGCTTTCAGTCGAATATTTTCGCCCCATAGCCATAACACATGCCACCATACAAACTGTAACACTTGTTATATCTCGTCGAACTTGCGGTTCGTAATTTCAAGGTTTCGCAAAGCCAACCCCAAAACCCAGAAGACAGCGAGATGGAGAGGCTACGGGGAAAGGGCCTCAGCTACTGCATATTTCGCAAGTACCTACTCCACGTGAGCAGCGTCGGATATTGAACACCGCAGTAACCGTGGACCACGATCGTCGACGTGTTGGACTTCGACGTGGTACGAGCTAGAACCAGACGTCGGGCAAAAGATCGGTAATCGGAGTACGCTGTTTCACGTTGGACGTCCGCCGATGTTCCGACGCGAAATTGGAAACGACGTTCGTTACAGCGAGGTAACGGAATGTCAAACGAAATTAATATTGGCGGCGATAGTCTTTAAAATACCGGCGGAAATCGTTAGAATTCATGTCCTCCTAAAGGACAGTACCTCGCTCATGGAGGTCGATTTAGTTCTTGGTGCCGGTGGCGCGGCTCGAAAACTCTCCCCATGAAGACGTCCGGATGTACCGACATCCGTAATGGGCCGAACTGCGTCGGTAATCGGGATGGAATGTCTTGAGCCCATGAGATTTCCGATCATCTGTTATGACGGAGTGTGGGGGAATTCCATTTGTGCCGAAAACCCGTGCTCGCGGTCCGATAGTTCGGTAACTTCGTTACCTTAACCCTAGCCTAGCCTAACCTGACCTAACCAAACCTAAGCTTGCGGTCTGAACATTAATGACATGATTCTGGATGCAAGGACAGCAATTACGCAAGTACGAAAGATCCGAGTACCTGTTCACACTCGAGGACTTCTTTCGGGATCTGGATCACACTCGTCACTAATTGCATCTTGCGAGCATCTTGCGTCTCATGTCTTCTGCAGCTGAAGGATCATGCTCGACTCCGAGCATGCAGTGTGTTGAAAGTTAAGGCTCTTTCGACGGATGGCGTTCTCCATGTATCGAATGATCCTTTTGTGCATCGTCGGCTGCATCGGGTGACTGTCATCATCTACGTGCACGATTCGGTTTTTCATGGTGATGGACGAGACATAGAGATCCGACACGGTTTAGGCCTCCTGAAAACGCATCACATGCTCAGAAGAAAGTGTGGACTTCGCCACTGATTGACCAGGTCCAATTCCTGAATAAAGTACAACTAGTTCCCAGTGGATATGGTGGAGCTGTGCCACCGACAAGAGAGTGTGATTGTTTGAGGTGGACGCTTGAGTATCTTCCGGATTTGCCTGACCAGCTACATTCTCTACGACCGAGGTATCCTTACAATGTGAAGGAAATCCAATAATTGTGGGGATGAGAAAAATGGAGCAATAGCTGATACTTCTTACAAAATCTACAGTGGACTATATCTGCACCATGCTCGTGGATACGACATGCGGCTTTTGCCCTCGTCTCCTATCGTCTTGCATTACTAAAAGCCAACCGAGGCTTCGGAGTCTGTAATGCGCTGTAAACAGACCTGTATTCTAAGACAGCGACTGCAGTGAGAACCAGGTTATGGCCTACCCACGCACTCACTCACTACGACAATCTCTTACAGAACTAGAGGTACTGCATATGAGGCCACCAGAGCTCCAACTCTTATCTCACAGGACTGGTGGCCCCATAGACCTATCATCATCATGGTTCTGGGGATTTCTTCTCGACTATCTGAAATGTGACAAGGGGGCGGGTTTAATGTTGAAGAACGTCAAGGCGGGGAGGGCGACACAACTAAATGCTACGTAAACTCGTAACCACCAATATTGGAAAAGCGCAAACCTCAACACCAACAGGCTCGAAACTGTGAAAATTGCTAGTCGGATCAAGAATCCTCGCGAATCTAACTGCCCTTCGTCGATCTCATTCGGAAAGGAACCGTCTCTGTGGAAGTCGATCAGCAGTTGGTCCTTTCTGTAGAAAGCATCATAGAGCCACGTCGATGCTTCCTCCTCTGAAGTCGGAATTTCCTTTATAGGGATCCGACGCACATGAATGTGTACTTCCGCAGGATCGATCCCAAAGAGGTTGTCGATGAAAAGCGGGCAGCGATGCTTGTACGCCATAGTAAGGTCGTATACTGCACAGAAATGATGCCGATTTAGGTCCTCTGTCTCCAAGCCACTGGATGCTCATATATGACAATATGAACGGGAACTGATAGGGGGGCACTGAACAAGGTTCAAAGTAACACACGAAGTGACTCGACACTTTGTGCTCGACATAAAGACTACAACTCCTTCCGATAGAGCCCAGGACCTACTTGCCACATCACTGAGCTGAAAGTATCTAGTCTCCACTGATACACTCACGACCACAAGTATTCTCGAGTTTGAATAATGGATACAGAATTCAGTACGGTACAAAACCTACTTCGCGTCACAAGTTGGAAATCAGGGAGGTGATTCTATCCGTACAAAATTATTTGCAACATTCGATCAAACATCACCGTCCAGAGAACTCCAGTGCCTACCACGAATCCCATGGACTGCGAGGCATCTGTGAAGCCATCTTCTTGAACTCACTTCCTCGCGTGGGAGATCCTAATTCAACGAGACCGACCAGAAGTTTGAAAAGTTAAGACTCTCACCAGCGTTGACAGACTCGGTGAGGAGGGGCAAGCAAGCCGTGAAACCTTTTGTTCGTGGAAGAAGGACGTGGTGCAGGTCGCCAGGAAGGCCAAGCTGCTTGGCGTAAACGTTTCCCCGAATCAATTTCTCTTCTCTGCACAAGTTTACGCCCACATGTCGCAGGGTTAAGACCAACACTTGACGCAATGAGGGTCGCATATTACGGCCCTAGCAAACTGACCGAGCCGCTTCAATAAGACTTCGACTGATCACGAGTAAGTGCGTATGAAGAACGGCAGGAGTCAAGAGCTTTGCTTCGAGCAACTCTATACAATCTTCACTCCATCTCCCTGTGATCCCGTAAAAGACACGTCACTCATTGCAGCGATGATTTGCTAAGCTCTGAGCGCAAACAAAAAACTATCACCAGCGTCTATCGGGTATCATCAATCTCTTTCACAATTGAGCACCAATTTACATCATAAACAGAAAAGAAAGAGGAGAGTAATTACGTGAAATCTGTGCCCTCGGGAAAAAGTACGAACCAAAATGGATCTACGGGATCTTCGAAACTCTTGAGGTAGGACTCGATGACAGGAGCATCCAGCTCCCACTTCCTGTCCAGAGGGAGGAACTCTAGGACATGGAAAGCCCAGCCAAATATCGGCACATTTCGGACACTGCTCTTCAAAGCGTACTTCGTGAACCCAATTTGTTTCTTCCTAACCGCCAAGTTCCATATGTACATCCAGTCGACTTCGGTGCGATGATTGCACATCACCATAGCTCGTTCCGCGACTGGAACTTTTTCCCCAGTAAATACCACCTTCGTCCCGTTGATCTTTTCGAATAAGTAAGGCCACAGAGAGAGCCAGTGCCCGAAGATGAATCCTATCGACTGCCTGCTCGTGTGCACGCTGTACAGTCTCAAAACGATGAAAGTAATGGGGCCCAGTATGATCAAAGTCACAAATGCCGTCGACAGTAAAATCATGAGACACAAGATGCCCCGAATCACTCTGTACAACGTCAAGGGCTTGTGCGACCGAGAGCTCTGCAAGCAACAGTCAAGCCTTGGGTCAGTGAAGCACTACTAGGCTACCGAAAGAAGGCGCTTTACAGCCCACGAATTCCTCGACTTTAGCTGCTACACATGCAGATCACTACGAGTACAACCGAGGGCCGAGGACAGAGCTGGGGAGGAAACAATCAGACGAGCCTCGCAAGCTTCTCGAATTGCCTGCAACAACAAAATCGAACTAACCTAGAACCTTGCCCCTCGCATTTCTAGACACACGGAGAGCACGGCCCAAGCAACTGCGACCTGATCTCCGCACAGGCGACAAAGCTCTCCGCGATGCAAGGAGTGATCTGGAAAATCTGCTGTGAAAGCAATGCCCGTGAGAAATCGTTCGAAGAATTGACACGTACTTCAGATTCCTCGCTAACTTTGCTCGCAATCTCCGAGGCATTCCTGGAGAGTTTGACGCTCGGCTGCATAGACTGGAGAAAGAGCCCGAGAAGCAAACGATCAGAAGCCAGAGAGAGAAGCGACGGAGCTGAAAAGCAAAAGCAATCAATCTCTCTGCCTCGGGGTGATTTGCACCAGACGACGCGGCGAACAGAAATTGCAACAAAACGCGAAAAGGAGACACGGGCGATCAGCGCGCTCGAAATGAGAGACCGAGAGCGCAAATTCCCGGGTCGCGCGGCGAAGGGAGGAGTGTACCATTGCATCTCGGGCAGCCCCGTGCAAGAACGAGGCCGCTCCATTCATATGAGGCGTGGCCTCATCCATAGCAAGCAGGTCCCGAATCCAGACCGACGAACAAGAAAGTGCCAAGACTCCAACACGATGATGAGCGGGGAAGAAGAGGATGGAGCTCAAACGAACAATTGCCACCTCCAACCCGACCCAAAACCACCACCAGCACCAGCACCACCTATTCCTCCTCCGCCTGCTCACTCACCGCACCTCCTGCGTCCGCTCCTGCCGCTGCTGCTGCTGCTGCTACTGCTCCTCCTCCTGCTCCTCCTCCTCGATTGAAATGGCGATTAGTCCAGATCCCGTGCGCGTCGCGAATCGAAGGCCCGGGTGTCGGCCCGGCGAAACAAGCCCGACCGCGGATCACCATGTCGAATTGGCCTGGCGCACCCCGCTCATACTTCTGCTGGCGAAATTGCTGCACCTTCGAGCCGCAGAGCCACCGGAGGCACCAACCAAAACAACGACTGCATGGACCAGCCTCTCGCTCACCGCTGCAAACGAGGAATCTCTCTAAACCTCCTGCTGGCCCCCTCCTCCCTTCTTCCGGTCTTCATCCGCTCGCACCAAATCCCGGCTGCCCGATCCCTCTGCCCTGCTCCGGACTGGCCCTGCAATGGCCTCGGCCCGTGGGCCGCCCGAGATCGTGTTCTCCCCGTCGTGGACTCCGACGACCTGCTCTCTCTCTCTGACTGCCACCTCCCTCGCTCGCCCGCTCGCGTGGCATCCGGCACCCTCCAACTAATATCCGACTCTGACCAGCATTCGTGCCCAGCTCAATGTCGGGTCGGGTCCGTTCCAGTTCCAGAGTCTCCGAAGCGGGCCAGAAGTCGGGTATCAACCCGCTTTCCCTTCTTTGCCCGCCCGCCCGCCCGCCCGCCCGCCCGCCTGCCAGACCGCCCGTGGCACGCAGGAAACGGACAAAAAAGACCGGGCAGGGCAGGACCTCACTGACTCCCCAAGAAGAAGAAGAGCGAGAGGGCGCCCGGTAAACCTAAGGACTCCGCTGCTCTTCTTCCGCTGACGCTGGCGCTGATGTGGGGCCGGGGGCTAAAACCAGTTGCAGCCGCATCGCCCCTTCTCTCGATTCTTTCCTTCCTTCTTTCTTTCTCTTCCCTTCTCTTCTTCTTTTAGTCTCTTAACTTCAAGTTCTTCTTCTTCGTCTTCTTCCGCCTCCTCCTCCTCTTCCTCTGCGGGCCTCTTCGATGCCCGCTGCCGTTGTGGTTTGATTTCGCCTCGGCCTTCTGCAGCGCGCGGAGGCACGGACGGCGGAGTACGGGCTGCTCTGACGGAGTAGCCGGTCAGAGAGCTGTACCATTTTCGAATGGCGCTCCCGTTTGTCGTCCGCCTCTGTCACAGAGTTCTCTCCCCACGGATGGATTTTCCAGCTGCGGTGTGTCGGTCGGTCGGGCGGTCGGTCCTCGGTCGGTGCGTCCTTCCTTCCTTCAACCGTTCCACGTCCAAAACCTTGGCTGCATGAACGGGCACGTCCATCGCCACCGTCGACCATGTGCCGCTTCATCCACCGGTCTTCTCGTCGCCGGGCTCAGAGCGCATTCCGCCCGGGAGAGCTAAAGACTCATGCCATGACGGCCGGCCGGCCGTATTCCCCGATGCGCTCCTCTTCACCGCCTTCTTCTCCTCCTCTCTGGAACCCACCAAAGGCCCTCCTCGGTCCGCCATTCCGCACCCCAACCTAGTTCGTTCCAGACTGCTCGGTCCTTGCGCCGGCTACCACGTCAGTGTAGCGAGCAAGACAGAAAGATCCACGTCCATTACAGCCTCTGACAGTCGCCTGTACTTTTCGTCGTCGTCGATCAATCAATGGGTCGATCTATCGATCCATCGATTATCTTTTCATTCATTCATTCATCGAGCCCGGCATCGAAGTATATTCATTAATATATTCTCCTTCGCGGCTCGCCTTGCGATCTCTGTCTTCGCCTGTAGAGGCAGAGTCAGACAGGCGGCACGCGATGAGGCGGGCGGGCGAGCTCGGTTAATCATGTCACGTGACCGGATTAACGAAGCGTTATCCGGAAGATGTGCTGCTACGATGGCCCGTTCGTCCGAGGTTGCCACGGTGCCCCACTGTCGTCGTGTGCCGAGTATCTCTTCCCTCGACAATCGCGAATAGTGACCAAATCGCGAAGTTTACTTGCCAGAATGAGCTTCTTCACTGCGGTCATCGTGGGCTGACTTCAACTCTCGGAACCTTCTGGAACCGTTCGAGTCTGCTCGTTCAGAAGCACATGCGACGGAGGATCTCGTGAAGCCAGAGGTAAACCTTGCGGCTCCTGCGTAAGCTTCGGGGACGAAGATACGCCTTTTGTTGTAAACCTAAAGACAGCAGTTGCTTAGAGTATGCTGTAATGCACATCAACCTCCCTCCGTTAACCCAACGCTTGGCTATCTAGGTGTCCCCACGCTCGCTTACCCCTCGTTAGACTCGAGTGCGAGCGGTTTCTGATTGGCTGAGGTAAAAATTGATTCCCTACGAGGCTCGGCTAAAATTGATCATCGTCTGAATCACTCGTCTTCACAGGTCCAATTTTCGGCTCAAACCTCTTTGTACCTTAAGGCTCATGTTAAATTAGAAGTAGTTGTTTCTTCTATGAATATTTGATTTGTTCATTTATATGTCCGAGTGTACACACAATGAGGACTCGCACACTTTTTTGTTCTCTCTGACTAGACTCGTCCATAGATCCAAATTCCACTATCTCAAAGTCATCGTAAACATTATCATCATTATATCACTATGTTGAAGCACAAGAATTCTAAAAATATTCATATTTCATGACGGGTGAAAATACTTTAAACTTAGAGATTTTTAAAAAATTGATTTTTTTTCTTTGCCAGCTGAAAATAAATATATTTATTTTTCATTTGATATACTTAACATTAAACCTATATATACTTGACAAAGTACAATTTGGACTTTGATGAATTTTTTTATGAGTATGATCATTTGAACGTTTGCAAACGATCAAGTTGGTGTCTTACAAAGCTTCAATATCTCTATCAAATATTGTTCTTATTTCACATAGTAAAATTTTATTACTTGTTTATATATATCTTGTGTCTTTGTTGGATAATTTTTTCATGATTAAGAGACATCCATCATTGTAGATGAGCAGCCTCTCCTAACTTGGCATTTGCCAAATCTGTCATAAATTACTCTATTATGGCATTATGCTTGAATTTCCTTAAACTGTTTAGAGTGCATTATGCCCTTGAGTAACAGATCCATTAAGTACGATCTGTACTCGTTTTTTCCCAACTAATCACAAGGAAAATCATTCTCCACACTCGTTGTACCAGGATATACACTAGCAAATTTTCCAGCAAACGTGCATAGTTTAGGAAATCTACGTTCAAGAGCACTCCATGCTTCATGAAAATCTACAAATTTTGTCATTTGATCCACAGTGTCACGAAGTATATCTTCTCTTTGATAAGCAGTACTCAATTCTTTGTATTCTTGTTCCAAGTTGTCAATGTACTCGTTGGTGAATTTCTTTTCAAGTCAAGATTGAAATTTAATGATCAGGTTCACAAAGCTTGATGCATGCATGATCACAAATTTGCTAGGAAGACATGGGAGTAAAGATGATGTTGGTGCATTGTTACTATATCTTTTTGGCTTGATCAAATGTATTCCAGCTACTAGATTTCCAACAGAACAAACCACAACATCCTTAGACGGTAGTGAAAGCCTGGTGTCAGAGGTTTCTGACTAGCTGAGGTGATTTTCAATCTTCCACATGTAATCCAAGGTAACAATTGTATCCACGGGAGGCTCAACTTTCATTGATCCAATGGTTATATTCACTCGTCTTCTCATGTCCAATTTTCGGTTCAATCTTCTTTGAACCTTGAGTCTAATGTGAAATAAGAAGTGATTGTTTCTTCTATTAAAATTTGAGTTGTTCATTTTATATGTTCGAGTATGCCTACAATGACAACTCGCACACTTGTTTGTTCTCTTTAACTACACTCGTCCATAAATCCAAATTTCATTATCTCAAAAGTTATTGTAAATCACTATGTTGAACCACAAGTATTCTAGTAAATATGCATATTTCATAATGGATGAAAATACTTTAAACAAAGCGTTTTACAACAAATTGATTGTTTTTTCTTTGCCATCTGAAAGTAAGTAAATGTATTTTTTATTTGAAATACTTATATAAAAACCCATTTATACTTACCAAAGTTCAATTTGAACTTTACTGGATTTTTATATGAAATTGATTATTTCAATCTTTGCAAACTATCAAGTTGGTATGATAAAAAGCTTCAATTTCTCTATCAAATATTGTTTGTATTTCACATAGTAGAATTTTATTACTTGTTTATATATATATTGTGTCTTTCGGTTAGATAATTATTTCATGATTACGAGACATCCATCATCATAGATGAGGCATATTGATGAGAAAAAAATATGTTTGTATAGCCCAAATCCATTTTGCATACAAATAAATGTGGTTCTGCAATATATGTAATTGATTTAGTAAAAAAAAGTAATTATTCAACTCCATCATAATTCAAATATCTATGAATTCATGATTTTATGTTTGTGAAATCTTGAATTTATATAAAAACCATGAATGTTTAAAAATTTCAAATGAACTATTCACTTTCTAGCAAAACTTGCACAATTGCTAAAATCATGTTTCATAAAACTCATTTAAAAAAAATAAAAAAACAAAAGGACACCCATAAGATATATTTAAATAGAAAAAACGTTATCTACCTAAAATAAAACATGAACAAAATTCATAATATGTACAAACGTTTATGTATAATCAAATTTAAATACACTAAGTGCATCCATCCTTATTGTGATTTATACTTAACGCAACAGTTAAAAAATATTATTACATAGAAGAATCAAATGAATCAAGTCAAGTCAGAAGAAATCAATAATATAAATAAATTTTAATAAAAAGTGAAAATTTATTGAAATCTATGCACAAATAAGTTAATTCTTCACAATTGTATAACTTTGCATGTTAAATAAAGAAGATTATTAAATTATTTATGTCACGAAATATTATGTTGTAAAATTCATGTGAAATTTTCATTCACAATACATGTAGTACAGAAAATTGTAACCTAAAAATGATAAATGAGAAAATCTAATCATACATATCATTGAAAAAAAAGTCTAACCATCAATATAAATATGTAGCATAATTGTATTCAGTTCAAAAATAGATTATTGCTCAATGCAAATATAAAAAACAATAGGTTGTGGTGAGTGTCAATATTGAAAAATTGACACAGTAGCCAAATATTTACAATCTCTTCCTCAACCTTAGTACTTATTGTTTTTTTGCTTTGATAGGCTAAAATATCAATAAATCAAATTGAATACATATTTATCATATTTACATTGTTTTTATCTTATTGTTAAAAATTCACATTCAAATTTTTATAATTGCAGCTGTTTGAAATACACTGTGATAAAATTTATCACCAATTGATAAATTATATATATATATATATATATATATATATATGTAAATCTGTTAAATACTATTGAAAAATTTTATGTTGTGATCTCACACTCCATTTCACTGTTTAGAAGATTCAATTTATTCATATTATCAAAATATATGATATAAAAATCATATGATTAAATTTACTTCAATTCTATGATTTCATATTACTTGTGATAAATATTTCAAAATTTTATAACTATTAAAAATTTTAATAACATATTAAATATTCAATTTATGAAGAACACTCAAAATTAAAAAAATTTTATTTTAATAGTTAAATGATTATATGAAATTAC